GAGGTTGCGGTGAGCTGAGATCGCGCCATTGCACTCCAGCCTGGGAAACAAGAGCGAAATTCCGACTCAAAAATAAATAAATAAATAAATAAAATAAAAATAAATAAATAAATAAATAAATGTCTGACTGTTTAGAAATGACTTCATTTTTAGAAGGCATAGTTTGCATGTATGTTTTAAAGGGCTGGTTTATTTTTTCTTCTTAGCAGAGGGACATCTCCTGCCCGTTGCCTTTATTGTCCTCTGTCTATAAAGACACAGCTCATCCCGGTGTGTTTTGTTTCAGGAGTGAAAGGCTTTTTTTGTGATGATAAAGAGATCACTCCTGAAACATAGTTGGTATCAGAGGGAGTCTAGAATTTTAGATGATTATGCTCAGAATTTTGTGAGGTAACTTTTTAAAATGGAATATTTAACTTTTTTTTAAGGAATGTTCTTTCTCCCTCTCTGCTTTTTAATGATTTTTTTTTAGTAAAGAACATTCTGGTTTCTTAATTTTAAGGACGAGTAAAGGAGGTGGCAGTTTTAAATGTACCCTTGAGCACTCTCTCACCGGGTTACTCTTTGAAAATAACCGTTCTAACAATGAATATTTGATGGAGACGGTCAGCTTCTGCCAGAGCTGGAGTTTAAGGCAATTCCTGAAACTGCCCTGGATGCTGGGAGGAGGAGAGCGTTGGGAACCAGGGCGTTGGGAGTTCTGGGTGATCACTTTCATTTAAGGAGCTCTGTGAAAGTTGGAACTAAGCTGATATCTCAGATACACCTACCTCGTGACTCCACCCTTCAGCCATTATACTGAGTTTCCTTATCACCAAGTTCTCTCCACTCTCTTCAGGACACTTTTTGCCGTTTTTCATGCTTCCTTTTACTTTCTCCCTCCTGTATCTTTCTCCTTCTATTTCTCTTTCTTTTATTCTGTATTGTTTTCTTTCCTTTTCCTTAACATGAATTTTTCTGTCCTCTCTCAGTGGTTCTCATTTATTTTCCCTTTATATTTCAGTATTCTGTGCGTGTCTTTCATTTTAAAATCTTGACCCTCTAAAACTCCTGTTTTCCGGCTTATGATTTTGAAGACAGCATTTCAACATATAAATTTATCTTCGATGTTTTAACACACAGATTCAAACAAATAAAAAATATAATGAAAGGGTTGGGGATGGGAGAATGAATTCAGTTCAGGCAGCCATTGAATTAGGGGGAAGCTGAAAGTTTGGGTGTAGGTGTGTAGAATAGTTTGCTGATGCATCTTGCTAATAAGCGTGGCTTTCTAAGTAGATTTTTCTGATAAACTGCACTTGTTCTTTACCATCAGAACCCAGAAGTTTCCTTTTTAGGTCCATTTACCAGGTCAAGGACTGTAGAAAAAAGCTAGAAAGCATTTTGTGCATTTCTAATGTAAAGAACTGTTTGTGTACTACTGGGAGAGCCTTTAGGCTCTTACTGCACTATCTAAATAGAAAAGGAAGAGAAACTTTTCCCCACTGGTTCAAGGCCAAGACTTGTCTTGAGTCTATTGTGTTTGGGAGGATTTGGAAGTGACAAAAAAACAACAGAGAATGAGAGCGTTCTGGATTTGCTTTTTTTTTTTTTTTTTTTTTT